GGAGCGATGTGTGACAGCTCCGGGAATTTGATCGCCTTGCCAGTTGCAACACTTTGCTCAGGTGCCAGCCTGACAGCCTCGGCACATGATCACCTTCCTCGCTGCCCGGTGCCGCTACCCGTCGGAGGTTTTCACTGCCAGGACTTTGACACGAACTGAGTGTCCATCGCCAGCCGAGCCCGCCGACAACGGGCACGCAGCGCTGGCATGATTGATCGCCCAAGGATTGCATTGGGACAAGAAGTGTCACTGGCACTTTGACCACGCGCGAGATGTCTTGTGAAGCTGGGGTTTACCGTGGTTGAAGGTGAGCGACACACTTGGCTGTTGCATCGCTTGTATTTTGCACGCCTCTCGTAGTAGGTACCGACACTGGGCGTCGCGAAACATTATTCGAGGGTTGCGGTTCTCAATTCTACGAGACTGATCACCACATCGATGCGGCTCTCAATTCTGACGTCAATGCTAAGCACAAATCAACCATTTAGGGGCCTTCCTGGGGATTAGGCTAGACAAAACACCAAACACACATCGCCGCTCCATCGCCCCGATATTTCAAATCAGCGGGCGACCGATTCCGCGCGGCCACGGACCAGCTTCGCGGAGAATGCGGGGAGCGCCTGGCTGCGGCGGAAGGGCCGTCGAGGATGTTATACCCCGTGTTGGCGTCAACATCGGACGATCTCGCCGATTCCCTCATCTGGCGATGGCGTGCCCTAGCCTGGTCTACAGCAGTCTCATCTCATCAGATGGAATCTGCACGCCAGAGGCCCTTGCAGCACGCAGATGACAATTCCAGTTTCTTGAAGCTGTACGGAGCCCGGATACAAAGCCAGCCAGTTGAAACCCGCAAGTTGCAGCGTCCGAGTGTCGCTGTGTCACGGCGCAGACCCCTGTCGCTTGACGCGCTGAAACGCCGCCTCGCAGGCTGAGACAGCACACCCCTGTCATCGCTGTCGACGGCTGTCGCAACTCCTCCGCGATGCTCGCTCACGTCCGTCAATGCTGAGTGGGAGCGACGCTTCCGGCGCCGTCCTGCTACACGGTTGACTGATCGATCGTGATGTTCCGATCACTTCGACACCCCTTCCCGACCCAGGATCTGCCCCATGGCTGGTGCCTGCAGCCTGCCCGCGATGCACTCGTCCGCCACCAATCCCCGTCAGGACCACAGCCTGCAGCGCGGTGGGAGCCGCACTGCGCTCTGCTACACCCCGACCCCAATGCGGACATGAACCAGAGACAGAGAGGAGGGGGCCTGCCCGAGTCTAGCTTCCCCCGAGTTTGTCCCCTGAAGTCACGGCTCTCGCTGGACCCCGGGGTGCCTGATGCGCACCCGCGATCCTTGAGACATGGTGGCAAGCCTTTGGTATACCTCGTCTGGGGCAGCACCGGCAAAATTGGCCCAGGCGAGCATCGTCTGTCCCATCTTCTGCCCACCCCAGAGTGTCACTGGACCGGAATCCCTGTCGCGGGAGGCTGCTTGGGGCTTGATCCATTATGCTGAAAGCTCGGCACTTTGGTGATCTGTTCCAAGCACTCGTCCTCCACACTTTCTTTCCTTTCACTCTACTCCAGTCATTCTCTTTTCTTTCTCCTTTCTCCCCCAAGGCGGGCCTTCCAATCTTTTTTTTAATTGCTATATTGTTTTCTTTGCGGGCCCGTTGTTTCCTAGTCTCCTACTTCTCGAATCGAAAATCTCCGACAGCTGGCCCTTGAACCAGGAAACGCATACTTCACCATCACGCGACCGACTTGAGTCGAAGGCATTCATGATCTCGGAGGTGGTGTGCCACTAGGCCTCATAAGCCGATCCACGGCCTGGCGACTCCTTGGAATCGGATAGGATGCCAGGGGGAGAGGGAATGGCACCATCAACACTATTGAGGAGGGGTGAGGCATGGGGTGAGAGAAAGGAAGGACTCCGGTTACTACGGAGAATAAGCCTAGATATCAGGCAAGAGGGCGACGGCGAAAGTCGGAACCGAGGGGGGAATAGGAATGGCGGTGGTTTCCGAGCCGGGAACCGAGACGGAGGCGGAGGAGGTGGTGGTGGCGGCGGTGGTGGTTTCCGAGGCGGAAATAATGATAACAACAAGGACGGCGGCGGCGGCGGTAGCCGCTTCGGAGGTGGAAGGAACAGGGGCGGAGGTAACAACAATAATGACAGCGATGATGAGGACGACGGTGGGAGCCGCTTCGGACGAAACCGGGGTGGGAACCGGGGCGGAGGTGGAGGTGGAGGTGGCAATAATGACAACAAGGCGACCACGGAGGTATCTCCACCACCGTCACCGACAGAAGCCCCTCCTCCCCCGCCGGAAACCACGGCAGCTCCCGCTCCAGCCGCCCCAGCTGCTCCGCCAGCCGACACGACTGTCGCACCGCCACCGCCCGAACCTACCACCGTCATTTCAGTGTCGACCATGACGATCACTCCTTCGGTAAAATCCCCGCGGTGTCCGCGCGACAAACTTTGACTCGGTGCTAATAATCTTATAGATAAGTCCAGAAGTTATCACCACATTCATACCGCAACCACTGGAGGCTGCAGCGTCTTCTGTTCCTGCTCCTAGTGATCCTGCTGCCTCGTCGGCAGGGACAACACCAGCTGCTAGCATATCAGATTCGGCACCCGTAGCTGCACCGTCAGCAATTGCCCTGCCTGATTCGGGTTCGAGCCCATTGGCACTGACACCTGCGGTTAGTACCACCGCTGTACCAGATGGCGGAAACGTCCTCGTGGGAGGAGGCATCGGCGGGCTTGGAGACAACCCCACCACCGCAGCCTCCGCCCCCAGCCCTAGCGCCACATCAGAAGCGGCACCAGCCGAGGCTCCGCAGGGTATGGATCCTATGGCTGAGCGCGCCATGATCTCCGTGGGCTCCATTGGTAGGTAACTTTGGCTATTGGGCTTTGGGGTAACAAGCTAACCGATTTCTAGCTGCGTTTGTCATGATCGTCTCGATTGTTTGGTTGGTGTTCCGGAGGTTCAAGAAAAGAAGAGACGACGGGGAAGCCAGCAGCAGCACCCTCAACTTTCACAAGTTTCTGCCGCAAGGGCTCACCTTCCGATCGCCCTTCAAAGTACGCAAGGACCGCACGTGGGAAAACTTGAGCGATTCCAATATTGTAAAGGACCGGCCCCCGACATATTCGTCTGAGAAGGCTGCTCCTAAGAAATCCGTTCCACTGGGCGGGTTCTATGGGCATGAGAAGGGTTATCAGTACCAGTCTGAAGACACAAGGCAGGACAAGTTGAAGGATATGCTACCTACGCTTCCCCGGTTACAAACAACAGGAATACCAGCGGCGCCGCCGATTCCAACACACACGCCGTCGAGCGCCAAGCCCTCGAGTTCGCATCCTGTCAGCGCTCTCAGCTCGAACCCGGTGAGCGCTGGGAGGTCAACTCGTGGAGACGTATCCGCGAACACCACCACCCCTTCAACCGTTGCTCGATTTTCCCACGCGGCGCAGGATTCCTTCAGCTCGACCAGTGCCGCCCAGTTTGGGACCATGACCGTTATAACCGCGACCGGGACACTTCGCCCTAACATGGGAGCGGCGTATTACAGCCAAACCGATCTTGCACGGGCACCGTCTGATGCTACGCGTCGGGACGGGAATCGCACCAGCGTTCTCTCTTCCCTGTCCTCTGGCTTCGGAGACGGTGATATTATCGTCCCAGGGGCCGTGCCGCCGGTTCCCCAGGTGCCCGCAAAAGCTTACCCCAACACAACGGCACCAGCGCCAAACGGCTACCCACGCTTCTCGTGGATGTCCCAGGAGCCGGGAAAGAGAGACACGGTCTACACCCAAGCCAGCGAAGACCAACCACCGAGGTTCAGATCTGTAAATTCCTGGGTTGACCAACAAACGGGAAGGATCAAGCGTGCTCAACAGAATGCGCCACCCGCCGTGCCGAACGCGCACGGCACAGTGGGAATTCCGGGAATCCATAACCCGCCTAGAGAAGAGGGTTTCGACATGATGATGGACGACGAGAAACCGAGAAGGGTGGAGGATGCATTGGCGGCGTCGGTAAAGATCTAGAGCCCCTTGATGGGAGGTGAGAAATGTACATACGAGCGTCTCCTTTTCTTCTTCTTTTTTCTCACTCTCATTTTCTGGTGTTGTTTCTTGTCGTATGGATATACCCCTTTGTATTGGTGTAGTTGCTCGGTGGTAGAGCCATGGCAACGCCTTGATTGGTTTGGTTGTCCCGTCGGTTGAGCTGAGGAGGTGTCTCTCATTGGCCTGGTGCATATATGAGGGATTGAGGCTGGTCTGGACAGGGATTGAGATGGGAGGTTGTTGATTCAACTGACCAGGGAACAATATTTGTTTAATTTTGGCTGGGGTGGGGTGGGCAAGTGGTGGGAGGTGCACGGAGGATAGTATATAGTTGAGGGAAGGGAATGATGATGAAGTTATCATACGAGATTCTGCTCTTTGACATGAAGTAGTAGCATGATGTCTCTGTTAGCAAGGTCCATTCGCAATGGATGAGGTGGGGCGCAAAGTGGTCAATATTCGTACTGGGCAAAAACATAACTGAACAGTACCTTTCTTATACTACACGCAATAGGAACCCCGCCAAACTTTACAGAACCTTCCCATACGTGGATTCTATGGTACTGAGGTCGACCTCTCCTCCTGTTCGCCGCCAGTAAACCGCTGTAGGGCAACCGATTCTTCAGCGACAAAAATCGCAACCACAACCGAGCCAAAAAGCTCAACAGAGCGCAAAAACGGCGGGGCTGATCGTGACATAAGCTCGAAGAACAAATTTCAGCAAATGACCATATATGTACCGTCCCACGCCTAGCATGGTGTCAACTGTAGAGGATTTTTGGTCCTAGCTTCCCACCACTTCCCAAATGATTCAGATGCCATGCTACCATGCCGACTTCTCACCCCGAGAATGAAAACATCACCCAGGCCATATAAAAAAATGAAAGAACACTAATGTCATGTGTCGGTGTTGACAGCAGACGGGTTTCGCCGGGGATTGAACCCGGGGCCTTTCGCATGTTTTTGCTCAGGAGGCCTTGAACACGTGAACTCAGGTTGTTACCCTAAGCGAGAATCATACCGCTAGACCACGAAACCAGAGGAGCTTGTTGATGGCTAGATTTTGGGCTGATTTGGGTTATGGATGGGGTCTTTTGGGTTGGGTGTATTGGGTCTGGGGTGGATGTGTGTGGATGGGATGTGGATCGGGAGGGGTGGGTTTGTCGCTGAGGGTTGAGGTTTCCAGGGCGGTGAGGTCAAAACACATCCTTTCGGGATTTGAATGTTGGAGGTTTTAAGCGACATCATGTTTATTTCCCAAGATGTAACATGGTGGTGTGCTGTCTCAGGTTGTTCTGCGATCGGGTGCTGTTCGTGTGGGGCTTAACCCCTATTCCATTGTTTACTTTGGCGCTGAGTGAGCTTTGCCTCCTCGCCATAGGATTCATCAGCTGCTGCTATCCTCAGTATCCGGACAAATCATCGCTTCTGGAAGGAGCTCTCGAGCCCGAAAACTGTCTCCAGCGTCGGAACCGGTCACTGGCGACAGCCATGCTCCGCCGGGCACGATCCGACGCTCGGCTTTCCCCTTAAGCTGAGTGGCCAATTCCTCAGTTCTAATGACGTAACGAATTCAAGGGGCGGTAAGCCCGCGACGGGGCTGAGGAGACAACCAGGCGACTTTTGAAAACTAGCGACCGTAACCCCGATCATAAGCTGCTCCTCTTTCAACCATCCCGGACACCGAGGTGCGGTGCCTGGAATGCCGCTACTCCAACCAGCACCACAACGGTGAGCCGATCTAGGGTTGGGTCCCGAGGAGGTGGGTGAAAATCGCCCCAGAGACTAGGCGCGCGATTCCCGCCAAAACTGCCAGAGGGGAATAACTATCTGCCCCACTGAGGGGGAATGCAGCCGCCCGGCCAATCAGAGCACTCCGATAACCTTCTTCACTCAAATTGTCGGGGCCAATCACAGCGCAGGTCTTTCAACTCCGCTGGTCGGCCGACGACCTTCCCAAATGGGGTCGCCGGAGCGGAATGGCTACGACGCTTTGCGACCCTAGAACCGCAAAAGGGGCAAAGGGGTAAGAATCGACATCGTAAAGATCTGATCTGCTTATTACTTCAGCGATCCATGACGCAGGAAAATCTGGATGTCGAAAATGTTGCGGCGGATGGATATAGCGATCGGGCACGTCTCTCGATCTCTGATGAGACGCTGTAATCTTCAAGAGGGGCGGCCTAATGGCGGTCTGTCAATGCACGTGCTTCGTTCTCGGTACGGCATTTTTTGTAGCGGCGGGGAGTGGAGAGTGTTTCACCGGGTTGAGGGGTACGTACCCGACGGAGCCGCGATATGCTCGAGATATGGATAACTGGATCCTGAATTATGCATCGAGGAGCCGCTATGGACTGCTATTATCAGCCTCACGCCCCCCATGGTTTCAGTCTACCCACTTTACTTTCACAATCCTTTGGAAAGGCTTGCCAGCCCACTCGCAGCGGTTTCAACCTTTTCGGATCACTTCAAACGGCGGCAGGTCGACTCATGTCAAGGATGAGCCATCAGAAACCGAGTCAAGTCCGTTACTCACGACGAAACACCATCGTCCAAGGCTCTGTATTAACTGCCCTCTAAGGATATGTCGGCTCCTCTTCATACACCAGATGGTCTCGGCTTCGTATACAACGCGAATAATTGTCTCACTCCGGAACTCCGCGAGCGCAAAATGGATATCTGTGCATATTCAATGTCCAACATCGAACCATTATAGGCCACGCTGTTTGGCCCCCTAATGGCAAATTACATGACAACGCAGCAAGAGTTCTGTTTCTTGGCCGTCTTGTAGAAGGCCTTGCTCTGTGCGCTGAGATCTCCGCTCTTGGCGACCAAGTCGTCCAGCTTCTCTCCTCTTTGGAGGACCTGAAAGGGGGTCAGCATGGGTCCTGCCTCGGGCATTCACGCGGGCTGCACATACGCTGTCAATAGCCTTGTGCAGGACAATCTTGGTCTCGTCCAGTTCCTGTTGGATCTTGGCGATGCTGCTCGCCTCGTTGGAGTCTTGGTACTTGACGATGTACTCCTTCAGCTTTGGGAATGGAACCTCGTTATCCTTTGTCTTTCCTTGTATCGAAGCGAGCGGCTTCTCGGCGAGGAACTCGTCCATCAGCTTCGAGAGGACGCTGTGAGCGGCGATATTCGGGTAATCCTTGGTGATGATGACACCAGCGACGCCCTCGGACCGGGCATAGCAGTGCACCACGTAGTCTGGACAGGTAAGTCAGCAAATGTCTATTGACAACGGGGAGGCGCACTCTGGGAACGCACCTTGCTCTGTGACGCTCTGCCTTTGACCTGGCCTGGTCCGTTCCGCCACCGTTTTGCTAATCATGGTCATGAAGTTTCCATATTCGTTCCTTGTGAAGCGCGAAAAGTCGCTGAGCTCGTGCTCGCCGCATAGCTGGATCGCCGGCTGCTTGGTGTTGTCGAGAACCTAGTCCCCTGGTCAACAGATGCCCTTCCTCGAAAACGGCGCAGGATGCGATCGCGGAATACGTACGCCGATGTAGTAAACCTTCATGCTGGGCGGTTTGGGCGGTCAAGGGCCAGGGTCTGGATAGGAAAGAAGGCTGAGAGTCGGTCGGCAAGCGGATGCGGGAGCGGCAGGCCGGTTCTGGAAGGCGATAACCCGATGTTGTCACCGTCGGTGTGTCGAACGCACGGGATGCTGGTCGCAGATTGTGGAGACTGTCAAGTCCCGATCCACCTTGTTCGCCGTGTTGAAATCGCCACACGTCTGTCGCCGACACTCGATGTGGCGGTGGGGTGGATAGTGGGGGTTGTTATGACCGAGGAGGGGCTTTGGAAGATAGAATGCCACCGTGTGTGAATGGCAGGCTTCAAGATTGAAGTTGAGCTGACGCAGACAATGAACGAGGCGCTTCAGCACGGCCTCGGCAAAACCCCTCACACCGCCTTGGAAGCCTCAGACGCGGGCCAGGCGCCGGTCTGATTGGACTGGAAGTCACTCGCGTGCCAGTGCCGCCCGACCAGGGGCGAGCCCATGCAACGGCTCTGTCAACACAGAGGCCAGACCTACGCAGGATGTCTCGCTGCAGTCTGCAGTCCCCATATTTTAATGTATTTAAATTGCACGTCGAGCAAAAGCTGCCATTTCCTCGCGTTACCTTATCTGGATGGCCCAGCTTCCCCAGTCTTTGGTCGCGAGAGAGGCTCTCGGATGGTGTTCCCTGGCCGATTAGCCGACAGGCGTTCGAGAACCCAAGCATCCGTACAAGGGTTGAGGTTCACGTAACGGCTCTACTTGTCGTGCTTGTCCCGCCCATTCGCCCCCGCCCAATCCAATGAGCGGGCCCGCGAATAGTCATCGGTCGCTCACTTATCAGCAATCCGCGCTCGATGATGTGCAGGCGATAAGACACGGACCCTGAGATCGAGGCGTCATAATACCGCAGAAATACAGCCAAAACGGCCTTGAGTAGAGTCTGCGGTAAAGTTGGGCTAGCGGCAACAAGGACAGGGTTTTCCACTCCTCACTTCGGGGTCCACCGACACCGCCCTTTGCCCGGCGCCCATCGACTAGTTGTGGGTGGTGCCCACCGTCCGGGCATACCTGACAAGAATCGGCCTAGAGGTGATAAGGACGGGAGTCTGCCTCTCGCGCCCCGCTGGCCCTGCCCAACCTGCTACTTTCAAAGTAAACTCGTTCTATCTTTCTCTAGGTTTAGCTGCTTGTACTTGCCCCGACAAGCTCGCGTGGCCGTTCCCAACCCTGACATCCCGCCAGTCGTCTCCGTCTCAGGACTGTCGACCACCCCAGCGCCAAGCCCCCTCACTGCGCAACACGGACCGGCTCATTGACGGGGCTCTAACTCGAAAGGCTTCTAGTTCGGGTGTGGCACTCAGTGTCTTGCAGGACGACCCCCCCGACTGTACCGCGCCAGCCCAGGACGCCAGCCGTCTCACAGTCCCATCCGCTAATTGCCGAGTGGTAACTTCGCCGCCCGTGGCAGCGGACAGGCCTTGGGAGCTCGAGGTGTCTTTCCCGACGCTGTCTTCCAGCCCGACCCGGTGCTTTCCTCCATCTTCTGCACCACCATCCCCAGGTCCGCCTCGTTCTCGCGCCGTTCGAGTCTCTCGACACGACACCTCGAGGACTTGCAGACTGTACCCGGCCCTAGTTTTGGCGACCTCGGGCTAGACGCTTGCTCGTTCGCAACGGCTTGTTGCTGCCGCCCGCACGCGACTCTCGCTGACCCCCACTGCCCACGCTCTACCCGCCACGCCGTGGTCCCCTTGCCGACCTGCGAGATCGGGCGCCCGCGATAGAAGCGAGCGATAGAAGCACGCGATAGAAGGACGGTAGAAAACCAGTTGCCTGCCATGGCGACCGACTTTGTCATGCCCCGCGTACCGGACCAGCAGCAATCCGTCTACTATGCGCAGCAACAAGCAAACCCCCAACTCTTCCAGCAGCCGCCCGCCTTCACGCAGGTGCCACCCATTCCGACACAGCACAACAACGCCAATAACCAACCCCAGATCTCCCCCCTCAGCACGTCCGGCAATGCATCGCCAACGTCGCCCAAGAACTACCTCGCCCGTCCCATCCGCCCGCTTTATATGCCCGCCGTGCTGCGCCCAACCGAGTTTCCCTCGAAGGCACCACCATCACGACCGGGGCCCGAGGACGAAGATGGGGCCGAGGAGCGCGCGCTGCGGCCGAACAGCAGCTTCATCAGCCTCGGCGGCCTGAGCGCATTGGGCCGGTTGAGCAGGAGATCGACGGGCGACAGTGGAAAGTGCGTGGATGACCAGTGGAATCTCGACCTGTTCCCGAAACCCACAGGAGCGCCCACCCGGAAACACTGGAAGGTATGTTACAGATAAGCCCTGCAGATGTCTTGAATCTACACCGCGCATTGCTTGTGCACCCGACTGACGTCGTCCCATCGCGCTCTGCGCATGCGACGATGTCAAGGATACGCGATTGGGACAGCCCGCTAACATCCATAATAGCCCGACCACGAGTCACCGGTTTGCGATCACGCAACATGCAAGAGGTACTTCTCATA